GTCAGGTATTTTGCCATAAATTAGTTCCTTAAGAATAGACCAAGTTCTGTTTGCAGAGTAAAGGTTTTGCTGGATTTTTTGCCCAAAGTAGTTTTTCTTTTGGTAATGTGTTAAATTTATGACCTGAGTTTTGAGTCTTTTAAATTCCGTTTCAAACTAAATATTATTTCTGTACTTGGTTTTTAATTTGTATAGCTTGTTTCTTTTCCCAATTAGTTTCAAAAGTTCACTACTCATCCACGGACTATTACATTTTTCACTGGACTTTTTAATAGATTTAGTTGATTTGTTTATGCTAGAGCAGAAAGAGGCGTGAAAATCAGAGAAGGTCCTACTGCGCATAATGTCATTGATATAACCGTTTCTCTCAAAAGCATTATAATCCAATACACTCATGTATTTGTTTCTACTAGGCTGATTTATATTTTTATTTAAACTTACAGATAGATGTATAATTCTATGATCAGATATAGGGTGATCTTCCAACGCAAAAACATATTTGTAGTTTACTTTGTCAGTTATAATATGATCAATTATGGTACTTGAACTATTGCCCTTCCTTGTATGCATATCCTGACTAAGCTCATTTAGACAACAGAACCCGTTACTGTATATACTGTTTAGATAATTTATGGTATCGTTGGTAACATTAAGAAGGTTTATGTTAAAGTCACCCATAATAATACAGCTTTTTATTTGCAATACATCACCTTCAAAGGCATTCACAAACGACGGAATATCAGAGCAGCAATTTCTATATACGCAAGCAAGATGAATATCAAGTTTGATTAATTTGATTATTAAACAACTACTTTTTTCAAATTCCTTACAAGATACTTGTGAAGAGCAAATAGATTCGTGTACAAAAAGTATGCAACCACCGGCTATGTTTAGTTCCCGATTGGTAAAATATGCATTGTAATTGGGAAGATTATAATATTTATTTTCATTTTCGTAGATCCATACTTCAGTTAAAGCTACCACATGAACAATGCCTTTCTTTTTCTTATTTTCCTCAATCAAAGTTTTTAAATCCTGAAGCTTATTTCGTATACTTTGTATGTTTAAATAAAGAATATTAAGGTTAGTTTCATCAATTTTACAATTTAACTCATTGCATTTATATTGAACGTTTTTTTTTATTTGATTATCAAAATAATCCATGGATAATAACAAATATTAGCTGACTATGTAAAAATAAAAATTTTATGGGTTTTTCTATTTTAACTTTTTTAAATCTTCTATAGAATCTATTTCTATAATTGCTGAATTTTCCTCCTTTCTCACTAAAATTCTGGCATCCCTCATCCATACGTATTGGTACTTCTTATTTATTGCTTCTTGTTTTGTTTTCTTCATCAGTTCACTTAGATCCTTCTCCAACAGGTGATGGAAATTTACATTTTTACCCATCATGTTGGTGTAGGGGATAAATTTACTGACATCAATATTATTTCCAAGTTTTCTAAACTCCATACATTTTCTTTTAAAATCGCCATTACTTAATTTAACAATAATTGGAAATGTTTTGAACTTTTTATTTTCATTTTGGTAAATATCGATTATTTCGTTCGTATTTACATCCACATTTACTTGTTGCCCAATACTGGCGATGACATCTTTTAAGTTTTCTTTTGCAATTTTCGGCAAGTTTGTGATCATTACATTGTTTTTATTTGCCTGCTGTTTAATTGTCAGTATGTCTCTTTCCATTTTTTTGACACTCGTTTTCATATTTGCGTTCTTTGTTTTTAACTCATTTAGTTCTTTCTTTATTTGTTTGTTTTCTTCAGCAAGTCTACTTATCTCAGCTTTGAGTGAGTCGAAACTATCACTCATATGCTGCTGTGAGCTTTTTATTTTGCTCATAGCTCTGTCTTGCACTTTAAACTGTTTTTGTAATTCGTCTATTATTGTCGTTAAGCTAGTGCTACTTGTTTCTTCGTCACTCGATTCACTTGAATTAGTTACAATTGCTTTGTTTTGTTGTTGTTTCTTATTCCTTCTTGTGCTAGGCGCCATAGTTGTTCTCGTTGATAAAAAATGTTAAATGTAAGATAATATTTGGTTTCTTTGTTATTTCTGGCCAAATACGCGGCTCGCACTGGAAACTTCAATTGCTCCGAGTTTGAAAGAAATATCACGGCATGAAATATCACGTTTGCATTCAATATCACTATCTTGGTCTAATGCAGACCTGGAACTTTATTTAGTCAGCGGTATACGCTTATATGTGTTATGTTAACTTTTGTTCTCATTTTGCATTTCTGATGAACTTCGATCCCTGCAGTATTATTCGATTATTAATTTTAATTTCAAGTATCGTTTTAAATGAATTGCTTAAAATAATATTAGTATAAAACTATCTAGTTTTCAGCTTTTGTTTTGTGGAATTTAATTTTTTTCTAGCGGGTTTTGATAAAAATCTGGATTTTACTCGAAAATAGTTGGCAGCACTGATAGGAACATAACATGCTATTGGAACTGGTAATGTAACTAGTACGAAAGCGACAATTGTCAGCGAACTCGCTGCAGGGAAGTTTTTTATTAATTTACATAACCAGCGTGGTGGTTTGCTGCAGTTTAAAAAAGCATACGCAAATTATGGACATGAGCAGACGTGGGCACTACCCCAAACAAGCGTTAGCTAAAAGTGAGAAATTATCAATTGATAAAAAATAACCAATTCGTAGTTAGTTTTTTTCAGGATTTTTAAAAAATATATTACTTGTGGTTAGCTACAAAAAGCTAACTAGAAACTAGTTTAAAAGTAATGCAGGAGTAATACAGATGTAAGCAAGAGATTGTTTTCTTTGAATTGAACTGAGGACAAATAAAAGGCAGATCGAAATTTTATATTATCATTTTGAAGTTATGTCTGATGGTGTTCGAATATGGGACCACCTACAGCAGAATATGTAAACAAATTTGAAATGTAATAAAATGAAGTAAATAAATAAAAAAGATAGTAAATAAAAAAAGTAAAAAAAACAAAAAAAAAATATTTTGTTTTTCTTATTGATATTTTATGTCCAAAAGTACTTAGTTCACATCAAATGCAGAGGTGACCACCCTTGACTACACCTAATGCGGAGGTAATTTTGACTATTCGCGGCCATCGCCACAAAGAAAATATATATATAGTTCCTTCCTAATCAACTTCAATTTAAGTTATAGCTAGATACATTTCCTGCATAGTAATTTTACATGCTGTCGCGCTCTCATCGTTACGCTCTGGCTTGCAGTGTTGCCAACTTTCGATTTTCAAAAAGCACCAAAAACTTGGAAAAAAGCGTTTTACCACACAAAAAGCACCAAATTGTTTTGAATCAATGGATGCTTTTTTCATAAAAGTTTGTATGTATTTAACAAAAACAAAAAATTAACAATATTTGCAACAATCAATAAACAAAACTTTTTCGCTCATAACGATTGAACAGCTACATATTATAATGACTCATGCTTACGAAGTAACACCGAAGTACTGCACCTTAAAACTGATATATCTCAAGAAAGAAAAATCGAATCCCAACAAACGAAAATCATGCCCTAAGTAGAAATGAGCAAAAAAATTTATGTTTACATTATATAACCTCAAATATCGCCAAAAACCGTGATTTTGGCACTTTGGGGTTAGGATATCTCAAAATTCTAGTGCTAGAACAATTGTGCGGCCAGATTTGGCACCAAGAAACGATGTGTTTTACTCAGGTGGTACAAAAATTAAGATTTTTACAAATAACTAGAAAAGAAAAAAAGAAATACTTAACTTGCTCGCATATCTACTAGCATTTTCAAGGCGAATAGAATTGAACAAGGTGGGTTTGCAAGTTCAGCTTTTTATCAATCATGGTTGTATTTAAGAGCATTTAAATTTGTAGATTTTTGTAAATTCAGTGCTGCTACAGCTTTAAATATTTAAAAATTATTTCAAGTCTTAACTATATCGGAGTAATTTTAGTTCAGAAAAAAAGCACTAAAAAGGGCACTAGGCAGTAAATAATTTTTTTAGGCGTTTTAATATTCAAAAAGCACTAAATCTAGTGCTTAAAGCACCAAGCGATGGTTATGCTCTTTGCGCGAGTGCTCGTTTTCTGGCCATGCCTGGACATGGGACTACAAAACTCGTTGCAGCATTGCAATGTACAAATAAATGTTTTCGCTGCTACTGCAAAAACAACCGAGCGCGCATGAAATACCGCATACACACAAAGCTCACACGTATACTGTAGATTTGTTTAATTTTTGCTCTAGGAAAAAATATATTTCATTTATGGTCTGACTTATAATATTCGATCACACGATTGGTGAATTTGTATAAATTTGAACATTTTGACAGTTAAGGAGTGGTGTTGTTTGGGCTTTTTTTATTAAGATTAGTTCGTTCTCGTAAAAAAAAACACCATTCTGTGACTGCCGAAATGTACAAACCTCTAGAAATGCATCAAATATCATTTGGCCTTTACCCTCTTCCTCACTTTGCGCTATTTTGTATCATATTATCTTAACATATGTTCATCAGTATATTAAGTAGCCGAGTTAAAATTCGATATTTTTAAAATGGCCGCCTTGCTTTTTACCAATACACTCCTGTAGTACAAATTAATAACACTATGTAACAAAACGTTGTAGGCGGTCAAATTTTCGTTGTGGAATTCCGCTAGCAAATACTATAGCCACTATAGCAGTAAATACAGGGTGTTTCTGAGGAAATTACACATTTTCTGCTGCGTTTAACGCAAATTTTACCCATGCCGAGAGCTAAGATGCTTTCACATAAAAAAAGTACTTTGAGATCATTTTCTAATAATAAAAATAATGTTGTTTCCCAAAATTGTTTCTAATACTTAGAGGATATGTCTATGAAAACATTCTATCCACTTTAGAAGGTTTAACAGCTTTAGTATATTTGATGGCAGTAACGACGGTCTCCTGACCCATTGTCCGTCTTAATGTTTCTCTTAACAAGGGTTGCAATTTATGTTGACCTGCAAGCTTACCTTTGAATATGGGCGCGATTTTAAAAACGCCCAATCCTCCGATTGTCAGCATCTGTCCTAAAGCTAGTTCCATGAAAAACATAGGTATGCCAGCTAATATCAGCGTCATGAAATAAGGTATAAGAAAGGCACCACCGCCATTTTTGTAACATAGATATGGAAACCGCCAAACATTGCCCAGTCCAATGGCGAGACCGACAACGGATAGGATAAAGTCTAATTTAGAAGACCAAGAGCCACGTTCTAGGAGATCATTGTATTTGTGCACCTAAATAAACAAACAATATGTAGTTACTTGTTTACCTTACTCTATTTTCATTATCGCATTGCAACAATCAGGCCCAATTCCAGATGAGCTATTTAAGTAGAGATGGTTGATTAACTTCATAAATTCATTACCAATAATGGCTTTTTAAATATGAGATATCGCTAGCTTAGAAAGAAAAGTTGCTAAGTCCCATTTTAAAAAATTTACAGGAGAGGAAAAAATCTTCCTATAGCGATTTTCTTTAACTATTTCGCAAGACTTTGAATCAAACATTTTACGCGTTTAAAGCAAAGCAAAACTCCATAAGAATCAGAAGGATTTGATATTTATTAAAAGATGTCGTATTATTTTGGCCTTATCGGATTTGTGGTGCTTCTTTTGGACTTAGCAGATTTTCCTTTTATTGCTTATACAGAGGAAAAAATAAAACAAGTACCTTTATAATTTTCGAAACGATGCGTATTCAATTTCTCTAGCCTCCTATATCAAAATATGAGTTTTCATAAAAAGTGGACTTAGCAACTTTTCACTCTAAGCTAGCGATATGCAAGCCTGCGTTTATACCAAACAACAATCAGCTTTTCAGCACAAAATGAACACAAACAAACAAGTGCAACAACATTTTCAATGACCAAACAACAGTGGTGCCACTTGTTTGGCATGTTTCAATAAAAGTGATCTGAAACCCAACGAAAGTTAAATGGCATTTAAATGATAATCCAAAAATAAACTTCACTTCCATTTAGCTTTTTCATCTGAAATTGGCTCTTAGTTTTAACGTTGATACTTCTAGATTATAATTTACTTTACTATTATAACTTAGGAATTTTTAGGTAGAATAAGTATAATATTACTCACAAACTAAAAATATTTTACTAATTTTATACATTTGTAAATCTTTGTTGTCCTCAATACATTGGTGTATGATTAAATTTACAGATATGGTTTTAAATACATATACACGCCGTACCATCATAATAAGCGCACCACATTTTGACAAGTTTTAGCATTTTTTTTGTTGTTAAATTTTCCTTTTTTTCCATAAAAATATAGTTTATTCTTAAAAAACACAACCTTATAATATCAAGTTTCAGGCTTTGTGCAATATTTCAAATAAATTCAACAAACTTTCGAGGACATGTTTTGTAACCCATTTAATTTTTGAATACAAAAGTGCAAGTTTGAAGTAGTAAGGACTTATCGTTGTTTTTGGCAATTTTTGTTGAAGGTATTGCTCATTTTATTCGATATAAAAAAATTGTCGAACATACCTAGTAATTTGTACGGAAGGAAATGCGTATATTGATAATCCGTCTCCCAATCTCTGCGTGCCGCTGCGGAAGAGGTTCACACCAGGCGATTGTTGCTTTCAACTAAATGTTGCCTGTAAACTCGCCTCATGTGAACATCGTATAAGTGAAGATTTTTTGTGCTAGTTTTTATTCAAAATCTTCAAAGAAAGGTTTTTTAAAAAGCAAAATTGTACACTGAAAATATCTTCAAAATTAAGATTGTGTTTGATGTAAGATTTTTAAAGTTTAAGCTAAAATTGTTGGCCGCTGTGGTGAAGTGGTAAGCAGTGCCCGCTTCCACTCCGCAGCACCTGGGTTCAAACCCTGGTCAAAGCAACATCGCAAAAAACAATATAGAAAAAAGGTTTTTTCTTAACAGCGGTCGTCCCTCGGCAGGCAATGGCAAACCTCCGTGTGTATTTCTGCCATGAAAAACAGCTTCTCATAAAAATACAATCGCCGTTCGGAGTCGGCGTAAAACTGTAGGTCGCTCCGCTTTGTGTGACAATATCAAGGCGCACGCCACAAGTCGGAGGAGAAGCTCGGCCAAACACTAACATATGTGTAAGCGCCAATCTATTATTATTATTAAGCTAAAATTGTTTACTTGTTTATGTTATGCTTGCTACATCATTGTAACCAGAAAATAAAGGAAGAAGAAAAGTGTTAGGCGTACGAAATATTCTACACTATTATATGTCTTCTTCTCTCGCACAGTAAAACGTATACTCAAGTAGAGAGTTGGAAAGTGGAGGAAAATAACAAAATTTATATAAGTCGGCAGTTTAGAAGCGTTTTGTAGTAGATAGTGTTTGTACGGAAAAGTAACACGGTTCAGAGGCTCTTAACTCACATTTCCAATATGGATTGCGGCGACACGATAAAAAGTCTCGGTGCGTGTTAAGTGTGCGTTTATACGTCCACATCAGAATGAAACGATATAAGTTAACACAACTTAATACATCTTGTAAACACGGTAAATTACAACTTTTTATGCCCGCAGGCGCATTAACCATTAGACCATTAAATTTTAGTATAACAAAGTGCTAGTTACAGTAGACTGCAACACTCTCCATACAAAAAAAATCGGTACTGTGTTTCCGTTGGAATTATAAAATCTATTATATTTTAAGACTTTTTCATTAAACTCGACAGTTTCTCGAGTGTGGATGAATTTTTTAATGCTTTTGAGAAAGGAGTTAATAATCTCGAGGCTGCTGGGGCGACTGTCATGGAAGAAGAAAAACTCAACTTCACGATCAAAGCACTACCAGCATCATACAGCCACATAGGCCACCTTATCGATGTGCTACCGGCAAAAGACAGCACCTGCGAATATTTGAAGCAAAAAAATCAAGCTTAAAGCTATCAACCCGACCAGCAACACAAACTGCAGCAGCTCAATGTCCAGGTCAAATGTGTTTGTGGCCTAAAGAGGCGAAAATTCAACGTATGGATACAGCTCGAACATCCAATGCTACAGGTGTAGAGAATATGGCCACATGAGCAAAAACTGCACACACAATCCCGTTAACCAAAGTGATCATAACGCATACCAGCAAAATTCACATTTTCAACGAGGCAAAGGCAGAAGCAACAACTGGGGAAATTCTCAAGGTCGACGTGGGTCAAACAAACGCGACGCTTTTTGAGGAAGAGGACGTACGCAACAAAGCAACAACAACAGCAGCGTTTTTATGGTAAATATAAGTAGCGAGATAAGTGATACATGTAGGTACAATGCAAACGATGTTACTTACAAGTTAATTTGGCTGCTCGACAGCGGCTGTACCGATCATATCGTAAATGATGATGTTTATTTTAGAGAATCAATAACTTTGAATAAACCTTCAGAAGTTAAACTTGGTGATGGTCGTACATTACAGGCAACTAAAATCGGTACATTTGTAGCAAATTTTCTCACTTTTAATAAAAAATCAACTATTACGATTAAAAATGTATACTTTGTTAAAGGAATGAAAGCAAATGTTTTGAGTTATAAGAAGATAACAAAAATAAAATAAAATCTTATCTGAAGGCAAATTATGTAAAGTTTACAATAGCTCTAACAACTTAGTTGCCATTGCCCATGAATCGAACAATTTGTACGTAATGAGAAGTTTTGTTAATTTGCATAAAAGCGAAATAAATGCAAATACCTTAATACAAAATATAACTAATAAGAAAATTACCCTCACAGAGAAATGACATAGAAGACTAGGCCATGTTAATTTCAGCTCGCTAAATAAATTGTGCAAAAGCAACCTAGTAGACAACTTACCTTCAGAAATTGAAAGTGATTTCATGAAATGCATCATTTGTCTTGAAAATAAAATAAACAATGCGGCTTTCGTAAATAATAGAACTAAAGCAAACGAAATATTACAGTTAGTACACACAGATCTAAATGGCCCTCATAGTACTCCCGGAAGCAATGGGGAAAAATATTTTCTTACGTTTACTGACGACTACAGTAAATTAATTAAATTTTTTTGTATCAAAAGTAAAGAGCAAGTTTAGCGCAAGATAAGATGCGCTAACGGCATCGAATACCGAATACATTAATAATAAAACAATTAATTTTGCTCGCGAAAAGGGAGTTTAGTTAAACCCGTGTCCCCCTTACGTACACTAACTAAACGGCACAGCCGGGAGGCTCAATCGAACTATAATGAATATGTTAAACTGTTTAATGCCAGAGGCCAAAATCCCAAGAAAATTTTGGCCGGAAGCAGTAAAGACTTCCGCGTATTTAAAAAACAGACTGTTAGCAAACACATTAGAAAGAAAAACACCGTATGAAATATTTTTTAACAAAAGGCCAGACGCTGAGTATTTAAAAATATTTGGGAGCAAGGTATGTGTAAGAATCCTGATCAAAAGAGAAATTATAAATGGGACAAAAAGGGTGATATAGGTACATTGGTTGGTTACTCCGATGTAGGATACCGTGTCCTCTTAAACGGCAAAGCAGTTATAGTTAGACACGTAGACGTACTAGATCAAGATATAAAATTAATATGTCAAGTTGAGGATGAAGAATCTGATTTCAGCACGGACAGTTCCGTTATCTCAAATCCCCTGAAAGCAAGTAGTCCAATACAGTTAAAACAAGAGGGGAGTTCAAAAGTTGAGGGACGCCCAGATGTCTCCAGCCCAAATGTTAGCAGTGGCTTTATCGACCATGAAGAGACTGTCATTGAAAATAAAGCGAAATAAATTCCACGTAGATCAGCTAGAACAGATAAATCAACAAAGGACGGTCAATTTGCTTACCAAACAATTTACGTTAACTATTGTAATGCTATGGTTCCAGAATTTTACGAAGAAGCTACAAGCTCAAGGGAAGCTCAACACTGGACGGAGGAAATGAACGCTGAGTATGACAATATCAATAAAAATAAGACATGGAAATTAGTAGAAAGGCCAACTAACGAGACAATCATTGATCTCAAATGGGTTTATAGAAAGAAAGCTGACGGAAAGTTCAAAGCACGTATAGTTGCAAAAGGTTTTCCGCAAAGGGGTGAGATTGACAGTACTTACTAACCGGTTTTTAAGTCACAAACGTTAAAAATCCTGTTATCCTTTTGCTGCCAAAATAACTTCCACATAAAACAAATGGAGGTAGAAGCTGCATTCCTGAACGGAAGAATCAAAAAAACAGTATATGTAACGCAGCCTCAGGGTTTTCCGACGGTTCGAATA